TCATTTCTATTCCATAATCACTTCTTTAAACCTAAATTTCCATCATTTACATGGCATTCAAGAATCACACTAAATTTTCAATGTGTTCTAAATCCAATTCTAACACTTCATACTTCTTAATTAGATTGATGACAAGTCAAATTCATCCATAAAACTTCAACAACCATACCATATCAAAATTTCATCTTAAAACTCATATTACAAATTCCTTCTTAATTCATTTATCTTATTGTTTAAATCCCATATAAGCTTTCCTTAAGCTTATTCAATACCCAAAGAATCAAAACTAAGCTTAAAACTCAAGAATTAACCAACTGAAATTAAACTTACCTATTGTAGCTAAGCCCCACGTGAAGAAGAAGAAAGCTTCCAGATAGCTCTCTTCCCACGTTTTCACTCTTAAAAAAAAGGGGAAAATATCTTTTAAAGGAAAAGACCATAATACCCTTAATTTCCTTTAATAATTACTAAATAACCTTCATTATATATTCCAATAATCATTGAATTATTTCATTCTTCTACTTTAGTCATCAAATTCTGAAATATTTCAATTTAGTCACTAACTCGTTATTGCGGATGTTACAAAAACCATTCCGTAATTGGTTTTCCTGAAAACAAATAGACCCTTAATATGATTTACCAAAAATTCATAAATCATCAAAGGTGAAAGGCTTTTACACCATGCTTTCATTACACTATAGATACTCATACTCTAATAATCAATTGACATAAATCACTAACAATCAGTTGGTCTAGTGAGATGAGACACTAGATTCCTTAAGCAAGATTAAGGATTCGAATCTTGACCGTAGTGAATGGAGTAAACTAGGTTGGGAGGGTCGCTTACCTCTGTAGTACCCGATTGAATTAGTCGATTAATAGATCGGATACTGATGATTATACCAAAAATAAATCAATGTTATATACCTAGAATTTTGTAATCATCCATGAATTCATAACATAACACACGTCATCACATGCAAATCACTTCCCTATAAACATACTAGATTAGAGCATATATTTATCATACCATCATAAGTTACCACATTTGCATCAATCATAGAATGCAATCTAAAATGCTTTAACACGATTGAACTTCTACAATAATAATTAAATAAATAGAATAAATTTCGTAAAACTTAATGAAATAATCGAGACATAAATGAAACATATCATAGTGGATTAATTAAAACATCATCATAATGCAAACTAACATGGCATAACAAACCATTCCATGGTATTTTTATTTTGCAAGTGTCATAATCATAAACATTAAGATTTATTTTTATTGATGTATGTGTGATGATCTGATCTACGAATACTCGAACCTTTACTTCTCACCGAATATTGTTATAATACAATAACAATAATTATCTCTCTTCCTCGTTCGCACACGTAGTCCTAATAATCAACAATTCTCCTCCCTCCCAAGACCGAAGTCATAAAGTAACACGTACACAAGCCTGTAGATCTTATGGTATGTCAATTGTATCCGGAACTAAACTAATAACCAAGATCTCATTAATCACATTACCGAAGTATATTTTTTCTTTTCATTAATGAATTAACACACAACTTATTATCAATTTTGAAAGGTGCATTATCTCATATTCACTTAACGTGCATAACAAGCATAACAATTCATACTTTTTTACAAATATGACATGTTTCACATATCAAATACTTCTAATTAGCATACTCATATAAAATAAAACATCAAAATTTTATAATGAACTACACAATAACTTTTTTTTTTATCAAATTACATAGTAGCTGAATATTCGATCTGAACCAAAAATTAAAATTTAGACGTTTCATATAATATACCTACACAATTCGAATTCACAAGTCATATAAACACAAAGATGAACTTGATTTCGACAACATTCACCTAATCTATGCTTATTATTCGATTCGAGTCGGGTTGGATTCGGATTTATGGTAAAAAAATTCGATTTGAATCGGGTCGGATTCGGGTTTAGGGTGAAAATACTCGATCCGACCGACCCAAAAATAATATAAATTTACTTTTATTTAAGGATAATTACAATAATAATCCTCTCTTTATATATATTTTAAGTTAGATCCCTGTTTTTTTAGTAAAAATAATATTTTTTTATAAATATATTTATTTCGGGTCAGACTCGGATTTTATCTCAAAAAAATGGGTCGGGTTTGGGTCAATTGAAGTCACCCTTAAACTCGGGTTGGGTCGGCTCGACCAAAAATCTAACCCGACCCAACCTGATCCGACCGGACCCGACCAATGCCCATCCTTAGTTCCAACCAAATCTTTCTCTTCAAAAACACAAACACCAATCAACGCATCAAAAATCAGAATAAAATCCTAATATTAACAAGAATAAACCTTGATCTTCAATTTACAGTTTGAAGAATCCTTACAAAGCATAGATGATGCAAAATGGTAGCTAAACACTTAGAGTTTAAAGAAATAAACTTGGGTTCACAAATACTTAAGAAAATTTAGAGAATCTTGAAGTTTCTCTCATTAGTTCTTGAAGCATTCATAAATGGCAGAAAGTGTTTAAGAGAAGGAAATGAAAATGGCTCTTCCACACCTCTTCAATTCAGTTTTAGAAGGAAAAAAAGAATGACAAAAGTGTGTTTTTGGATATAAGATCCTTAATAAAGAAATATCTAAATTAATAATAAAAACCTATAATATTCATCAACTCTCTAACAATGTCATTTGGAATAAGCATCATGAAAATCTTCATCTTTACTCCTTTATTCAATTTAGTCCTTCAACTTTCAGTTTCACTTTTGGGTTTTCAATTTAATTCCAAATTGAGCCATCATTTAATCAGATCAACTTAATCGACTTAGATATATTTTCCCCATAATGAAATTGATAGAATTCACCTTAAATTAATTTCCTGATCATTAAACCCAGAAAAATCTAACATGAAAATAATCGAAGTGGCTTTTGATCATACCCGTTAATGCATAGTTGTTCCGGTCATCCCTCTGAACGGAATCAACCGTTAGTGAATCCTCTGGAAACTCGTTTACTCAAGTCGTCAACAAACGCCGTCCAGTCGCCTTCACCTGTCGTCGATTTTCGCTCTCCGATTTTTGCACCTCAGGCGAAGCCTGCTCTCCTCCGATCCATCCCTCTAATTAACCAGTATTTCAAAGTTAAACTAAATTTAACTGGGAGGCCGCAACGCGAGATGCTTTCTCCTCGCAGCTGGATTCCTTCAAATCAAGACTGGTTATCCTGGTTGGGTAATGGTGAGGGTCTGTTCTCTGTTAAATCGTTCGGAAATTTGCCTAGTCTGCATGGTTGGATTTATTCTCAGGTATTCTTTTCCTACTGCAACTCTTCCTAGGTACACCTTATGTACGTCAAGGGTTTTGAAAAGATTTTTAACGACACTTCCGATTCTTATGAAGAAAAAAAAAATTCTTTAACACAAATACAATAACATTTTACCTCCTAATCAGAGGAGTTCCAATTTTTGTTAAGAGCAGAAGGTTCAGACCTCCTTAGAACACAACCCTACGCTCAAGTACAGACGTTAGAGAAATAAATTTAAATTTATAAAATTTTAATTGACAAATTTAAACTTATAAAATTTCATTAGAAGAAAATAAATTTTAAATAAAAAATATATTAAAAGTTTAAAATATAAAATAATTATAAAATTTCACGAAAACACTGTCTCACTCGCCCCTGGTTCATCTCTACCCACGCCATCACTGCCTAAAAGGTGTTTAAAAAATATCTACGGCTAAAAATATAAAATGAATGTAGGATTATGATTTTTTATGGGTTTTTTTTAATGAATTACAAGAAGAAAGAAAGAAAAACAAAGCAGTGGATGAATGAGATTTGTTAAAGTAGTGAGTGATTTGATATTGTTTAAGAAAAATATTGCATCATCATATCACCATGGCTAATTCCTCGGCATATTTATTAAAAATAACCTCTTTTTATTATTCTATTGAAAAACAACCCCTAAACATCACTAAATAAAAAATATTCCTAAAATACACACGTAAAACTACATCGTATTCTACACAACACAATTAAAAAATCTCATGTTTTATCGAACACGAGCTTTATTAATTTTTCGAATAATTTCATTTAATTTATATATAAATGACATAATAAATATACGGAACTCACTTTTCATGAAATGTAAAATATTTAAACATATTTTATAAGACACGATATAATTTTACGTGTATAATTTTAAATATATTTTTTAATTAGGAGTTGTTAGTCTAAGGAATAAATTTTTTATTTTTTAATAAAAACGACCTAATTTCTGACCGTCAATTTTTGTAATAATTCTGAACCGTCAATTAATTCCATTTTCATAGTACCAACAACCTTATAAAAATCTGAGCGAAAGCAATCAACCCAACTTTCAAGTCCTTTCATGGTGAAGCAGACATCTGGTGGTGGACCCCCAATCACGAGACCACGTTCAACGGCGTCGTTTCCTCCACTTGTCCCAACGTGAATGCAATGAAAGAAAATTGAAAATAAATAAAAGGTAAACTACAAGTTTTTAACATGCCCTCTATTATTTTATTTATATTTTAGGTATCCAACTATTTTTTTTTAAATTATAATTATAATTATATTTTATTTCAATTATTTAATGTTAAAAAATTAATAAAATTATTGGTGTGATATTTTTAATTTTTCAATAATGACATGATATTATCTTGTAATGACAAGTCATCATCACCATTGATTTTTTAATAGAGTATGATAGACATAAAACTAAAAATTAAAAATTAGATTTGATTTTGAAAAATAAAATTGAGTGATCAAAACGAAATAAAAATTATAGTTGAGATATTAAAAGTGTAGTTTACCCGATAATAAAATTAAGCTCACATTTCGAAGACTGAAGAGTGACCAGAGGGTAGCGACCGCTAATTCCCTGCATGCTAAGGGGCCCACCTTACACGTGGGAAGCAGAATGTTAGCAGACTTAGACATCGAAACCAAGATCAACCACTTCATGTCGGCTTCAATATCAATACCAGGTGAACTTCCTTTACCGATATAACCCAACTCAACCAGCTGCACTCGCCACTCAGTGAGTGAACCATCCTGGGATTACTGGTAATGACGCTGATTTTGAGAGATTCATGAAGTCTTTGGTTTCTTTTTGTTTGTTTTTTTAGTTAGTAATTGGTTTGGTTTCATCTTTCTGGTCTTAGCTTTCCCACTGCTTGAAGCTATCCCAACAATGGCGGCCGTGACAGCCTCCTCCCACTTCGTCTCAACAAGATCAAGTTTCACCGGCCATAATAAGCTCGTGCCCAAAAATCAAGCCATGGTTCACAGTGGTTTGAGGTGTTTGAACCAGGTAGATGCGTTGCATATGAGAAGCAATGGAAACTCTGTTGCTGCTGCTACGAAAGCCGTGAAACCTGCACATTCCGGAAAAATCATTTGCGGGATAGGGATGAACATAGTGTTCGTGTCGGCCGAGTGTAGCCCGTGGAGCAAAACCGGTGGACTCGGTGATGTCCTCGGTGGACTTCCTCCAGCAATGGCGGTGAGTAGAGATTTTGGCTTTTTTTTTTGCTTACAAAGTGTATGATATAATGACTAAAAGGCTATTGCTTGATCATCATTTAATAGGCCAAAGGACACCGAGTTATGACAGTGTCTCCTCGCTATGATCAGTACAAGGATGCATGGGACACAAGCGTTGTGATTGAAGTAAAGTTTTTCATTTTTTTTCACTTTTTTCTGGTACTCCAAACTCCATTGAAGTGAGCTATGTTTGGAGTTAGATTCTTAAAGTTCGGGTCCTATATGCAGATAAAAGTAGGGGACAAAGTTGAGACTGTTCGGTTCTTCCACTGCTACAAACGTGGAGTTGATCGTGTCTTTGTCGACCACCCTATGTTCCTTGAGAAGGTCATGGAGTTCATGTTCATGTATAAACGATTCAAGTAATAATTTCTTCATTGATTTTGTTTTCACTATTTTGATGATTTCAGGTATGGGGCAAAACAGCATCCAAAATCTATGGCCCCAGGGCAGGTTTGGACTACACAGACAATCAAGTGCGGTTCAGCTTGTTATGCCAGGTAGATAAGAAGTTTCCGTGTAGTTAGGGGTGCTACCTGAGTTGAGCAGCTCGAGCTCGATCAAAACCCTATCGACGTTCAATTCAAATTGATTCGATTCGAGCTCGATTTGGGACTTTAACGAGTCGAGTCAAACAAGGTCTTGTCTGAGTCTCAAACAAGGTCTTGTCCGACACAATAAGTTCGCAACCATCTCGTTATTTTTCAATAATTTTTTAGGATGCTGAATGTCTTATTAATAAAATTGATTATATATTGTTAAACGTTTTTTTTAAAGAATGGTGGTAGTAAATGAACCTGTTGAATGGCCTTGGTGATTAAAGGGAGTGTTGTTCTCCCTTAAGGTCCATTGAATGGTGGTAATTTTATTGAACTTATCGAGTATTGAGTCGAGTCGAGCACAAATTGAACAGTTTTCGAGCCGAGTCAAGCACTGCTCATCTTGTAATCAACTCGCTCGATAATCACCCCTAGTTATGACCCTGAATCTAAAGGGTAATGGATTATTGCTTGCTGTGCAACAACTAATTTGTTGAAAAATTTGCAGGCTGCCCTCCTGGCACCCAGGGTACTGAATTTGAATAGCAGCAAATATTTCACTGGACCATATGGTATGGAATATAGACCATTTTTTGTTTTTAGTCTTAGCCATGGAGGTTTACCTATTGTTTCATGAAATTGTTTAGGCTAATGTGCTTCATCTTCTTCAGGAGAAGATGTTGTGTTTATAGCCAATGATTGGCACACTGCTCTTCTACCATGCTATTTGAAAAGCATGTACCAGTCAAGGGGAATCTACACGAGTGCAAAGGTATTGTTGATAGCATCTGGTTTGAGATTCGGACATCCAGAAGCTCGAAACTTACATCGTGCGTGATAAACATGACAGGTTGTGTTTTGCATCCACAACATAGCCTATCAGGGAAGATTTGCATTTGTGGATTTCCCGCTTCTCAATTTGCCTGATCGGTTCAAGAGTTCTTTCGACTTCATCGATGGGTATGAAACCACAAGTGCTGCTGGTGTTATTTTATTCGGTTGAGGAATTAAAAGCTTTTTGTTTTCAGGTACAACAAGCCTGTCAAGGGAAGAAAAATTAATTGGATGAAGGCTGGAATATTGGAATCAGATAGAGTTATGACTGTGAGCCCGTACTACGCCAAGGAGCTTGTATCCGGTGAAGACAAAGGTGTTGAACTCGATAACATCATTCGTAAAACCGGCATCACCGGCATCGTGAACGGCATGGATGTTCAAGAATGGAATCCTGCCACCGACAAATACACCTGCGTCAAATACGATGCAGCAACTGTAAGTGCTTCCTATAGCATCCGATTTCTCTGTTGGTTATGGTATTCGAATACTGGTTTTACGGTAACCACCGTTGCAGGTAACGGATGCAAAGCCATTGTTGAAAGAAGCTCTTCAAGCTGAGGTGGGTCTGCCTTGTGACAGGGATGCTCCCTTGATTGGCTTTATCGGTAGGCTAGAAGAGCAGAAGGGTTCGGATATTCTGGCCGAAGCTATCCCGAAAATCATCGGAGAAAATTGCCAGATTGTGGTCCTTGTTAGTGTCGAACTTTAAAATTCTCCCTTCTGTGATTGTTAGTGTTGCTTCAATGAGTAAAGGGTTCTATTTTCCTTTCAGGGAACTGGAAAAAAACCCATGGAGAAGCAAATCGAGCAGCTGGAACTCGAATATCCAGACAAGGCCAGAGGAATAGCCAAATTCAATACTGCATTAGCCCATATGATCATTGCTGGTGCTGATTTCATTTTGATCCCTAGTAGATTCGAACCATGTGGCCTCATTCAACTGCACGCTATGCGATACGGAACGGTAATTGCTTCCGAGTTCCGACTATTCCTTTTCCTGCAACAATTGATTTGACTCGATGAATCTGCATATATAGGTTCCGATAGTTGCCTCGACCGGTGGACTCGTCGACACAGTCAAGGAAGGATTCACAGGGTTCCAAATGGGAGGATTCAGTGTAGAAGTAAGCAAAACTTGTTTACATCTTTTGTCACCTACATAATCATGGGAAGATCATTCATCCGAATGGGATGTTTTTTGCAGTGTGATGAAGTGGATCCGAGTGACGTCGAGAAGGTGGTAAGAAACGTTAGGAGAGCTCTCGCGACATACGGGACTCGAGCCTTGGTAGAGATGATCCAGAACTGCATGGCACAAGATCTTTCATGGAAGGTCAGTAATAGGTCATGTAGGAACAATGCAGAGGAGATTTAGGCAGAAATGAATAGTATAGTAAATGGAGATTTTATTGGTTTATGCAGGGGCCGGCAAGGTTGTGGGAGACGATGTTGCTGAGCCTGGAGGTTGCTGGCGGTAAGGCCGGCGTTGAAGCAGACGAGATTGCTCCACTTGCCAAGGAAAATGTTGCCACTCCCTGAGCATAGGGTCTTGTAACTTTGCAGAAGCTAAGAAAATCCAAGAATATATATATATATATATATATATATATATATATATATATATATATATATATATATATATATATATATATAGCAGCAGCTAACCGGTGTTATTTATGTTTGTACTTGAGGAAAGAGTTTGCGCGTGTGTTTTGAGTATATTACTGTGTAATGTCGAATAAAAAGATTCAAGTTCTAATTTATAATATATAGTTTATAATATATTAATAATGATATCTTACGATGTTTGAACTATATACAAGGATGGTAAATTTTTTAAAAGAATGAGATTGTGTATTAAATGAGTGAGGTGGGTTTGAGTGAATGATTAAATTTTTTTAACTCGATTCAATCTAAAACAATAATGTAATTTTTTTTAATTTTACTATTTTCTTAATTAAGTCTTTGTTTTATATCAAATCAAGTCGATTTAAATTTAAATTATAAAAATTTGGGTCCAATTGGAGTTGGTAGAAGGTATATTTTTTCGAGTCGGGTTCGGATAGAGAATATATATTTTATAATAAATTAATCATATTATTATATGATGTTTGAACTATATATATGTGCTTAAATGAATAACAGAAGACTAAATTGTAATTCTGAAATAAATTTAAAATAATTTGATTATAAAAATAATTTAATTATTAAAATAATTTAATATGTCTAGTAGATCCATTTATATAAAGGCAAAACAACGAATGAAGAAGGGAAACAAAGTCAATGTTGTCAAGACTAATAAAGGATATAAAACTCTAAAATCCTCTCAAAACTTGCAAAATAGTCCTTTTCTATCTCAAGCTTCCAAATTGATACAATTCAAGCATGTAGAATACATCTAATATTAATTCTAGACCATAGGAAAATTTTCAATATTTTCCCACAATTTCCCCCTATGGCTGAATCTATATAAGTAATTAGGGTAAAATTTTCATTCAATTTCAAGCATAAATTCAACCTAACGTTAAATTCATGTTATTCTAGTTTTCATAACATCAAATTCAATCAAAATTCAATCCACTTCAATAAACCCTAACCATGGCCGAATATCATACATGCTTTTATACTTGATTTTAATCATCCCTCATGCTTTAGAATTAATCTACAACATCAATAACATAAAAATCAAGCCTTGAATCATTAAAATCAAACTTGTTCTTCATGAACCCTAAGCACCAATCTCATCATCCAAGCATGATTTCCATGTAATTTTTATACCTAATGATAGAAAATTTCATGTAGATTAATTCTCTATCTAATAGCTTAACCTAAAAAAATCAATCAAATAAACCTAAAAATTCAAATTGAAAAGCTTACCTATGTAACCATGGTGGCTCACGTTTTGAACAAGATGAGGGATGATTTCTTTGTTTTTTTACCCCATAATTATCAATACACATGGCTTTATACAATTAAATGAATTTAAAATTCACTTAATTCTAATTTACCATTTTGCCATTAATGAATCTTGATAACTGCAACTTTTTCATTCCATGGCATCATCCCTTATCTCGTCATATCCATAACAAAAATATAAAAATTCTAATTTTTTATGTTTGCCCTTGAAATTTTCAAAAATTTCAATTTAGTCACTAAATTTCACAATTTCAGCTAAATATGGAAAAATCGACTTCAATTGCACTAATCCACATTAATTTCATTGTTTTAAAATTTGAAAATAATATTCCAACCATTATCTAACATCCTTCCAATTTTTGTAAAATTTCGATTCGATCCGATTATCTGATTTCTTACCGGACTTTACTGTTTTATAGCTTTTAATATAAACCCCGAATCAAAATTCTTATTCCCACAAAAATTCTTATTTTTAGACAAACTATTTATTTACATGACAAAATATATATCTTTTAAAAATTATATTTTTTGTCTCTAAACTTTTCAAAATTTATACTTTAGCCACTAAACTTTCAAAACATACATTTTGGTCACTACTAAAAAATTGGGGTATTACATGCTATCTGATACCAGATACTAGCATAGCAGATCCAATGTTGTATTCAGATAATACATAGTAGAGTTAGTGTTACATTCAAATAATACATAACAGAGTTAGTGTCGCATTTTTATAATGCGCAACAGTTATATTCACTAGGGTTAGAGAACCCTTTAGAGGTAAGGGAAGAGTGAGACCCATACTTTAGAGATAGAACAATAAAGCCTTAAATAGGTAATACTTGTTCTAGATCATGCATGTACCTATTGCTTATCACCATGTCTTCAGCATACTTATATTTATGAAATTATTATGCTACTCTAGATTAGTGATTATACTGATGGGCTTTGTAAGCTTAGCCTTCGGATGTTTTCCGTTGGTAGGTCAGTAGCTTGGGCAGTTTGTGGAGTACAATCGCAGTAGGACTTCCAGCATCTTCTTCAGAGTATTGTATTGTAGTTTTATAGGGCATATGTATTCATATTTATAAGAAAACGTTTTTATTATTTTGGTTTTAAATTTTTTGTCACGAAGCTCTGGTTCTATAAATGTTTTTATAAAGGTTATTTATGTTTTAATTATGATACCATTCAACATGTTTGAAAAGGAAATGAATAAATTTTTGAAAATGAAGGGTTGTCTCGGTAGCCCAATGTGGCACTTTAGGCCAAATCAGGTTTAGGGTATTACAGGTACAACCGAAATACCTATAGTAAACGTAATATATCCAAGTATATTTAGTCGAGCACATAATGATTAACTAAGAGTGAAGGATCATTGCAGAGGGTGTACTGACAAGATGTATGACGAATTAATCATATTACAAAATAGCAGAGTCGTGTACTACAAGAATGTCAGCGAATGGTGGACGTACAATTGTCCCTCTAATTTGAGGATGAATTAATAGAAACCATAGTAAGAGCAAGTAGAGTACCGCTACTCAGTTTTGAACCCGAGTCAGGTATTAGGCTAGAAAATAATACAACCAGTGAACAACAACCACAATAATTCATTGTAAAATCATGAATCACGTAGAGACTCCTCTAGAAACAAAGAAATGACCAAAATGCCCTTAAGTAACGAATGAACAGAATAGAGCAACTTAATAACTAACATCAGTAGTAGACTAATAAATTTTCACATAACATTCTAGGTGAGGGAATGAGCGAGATAGCATCTAGTGAGATGATGATCTCACTTTAGTATGTCCAGCTACGTTGATGTAGCTAGGTTACCTTAGTTTCCCTAGTGGGGCATTTTCAGTGCGCGAGACACTTCAGTTGTAACACCCCAAATTTCAGGTTAGGAGTTTTGGGTATATTTGATTTGAACTTTAGAATAAATCCTTTTAGCATACGAAGAGTTAACCCAAGTAATATTTGATTTAGGCTTGTGATGAGTCAACAATTTATAAAAATGGTATTTTTAATCTGGACCAAAATGAGGGAGGACTAAGGGAATAATTATCCCATTTTTTAAAACAAAAGTTGAATTCCCAATAAATGGGATGATATCACATATGGTTACCATCTCTTTTTCCTTACCTTTGTTTGTCTCATCTTCCACACTTTACTCTCATCTCCTTCCTCCTTAAGGTAAGCTAAAGATTCAAGCTTGAATCATTGGTAACATCCCGAAATCAGGGTAAGTGACTAAATTGTAAATTTTGAAAACTATGTGCTCGATTTTGAAACAAGTTAAAAGTTCAATGACTTAAGAATAATTCCTTATTGGATTAGATGATAATTATGGAAATGTTGAAGGGTATAATAGTAATTCCACAAGAAAGATTTTTTTCCTCCTTTACATAGGATATAACACGTGGAAATGAAGAGAGACAAGGTTCTAGTTTCCAGAGTTCTCTTCTTCTCCTTTCTTCTTCACGTGTGAAATCCAAGAGCAAAGGTAAGATTTCTTGTTGGTAGATATTTAACTGAATTTAAGATTGGGTTATGATCATTTGATGATAACTAAGCTTAAGGAAAACTTAGGTTATCTTAAAACCATAAAATGAGGAGTATATGAAGAATTTAAGAAAGGAAGTAGAAAAATAAAATCTTGGAATAAAGTTCATAATAAGCATTGGAAGTGAGGTTTGACTTGTCCTCAACTTAATCAAGAGATATGAGGTGTTAGAAATGGACTTAGAACATGTTGAAAAATTGAGTTTAATTTTTGAATCCCAGAAGTGGATAGGATTTTGAGGTTTAAGATGTGATAAATGGGTATTAAGTGGTTTAAGTAAGAGTATGTAAGTTAAGGATATGAAATGGGTTGAATTATGGCACTATTGAGCTAAGTTGAGTGATTTTCGTGAATAAATTGGAATTATGGACCAGTGTGCATCGGCACACATTCAACATATACCGATGCATTAAGGGTAAATTTCCAGAAATTGTTCAGTGTGTAGCGATCCACAGGAAGTGCATCGATGCACCCATTAAAATGGAAACATCGAATGCAATTAGTGCATTAATGCATAAGGAGTGCATCGATACACCCCCTTAAGATTGAAACATCGAAGGTGATTTGTGTACCGATGCATGGGTAGTGCATCGATGCACATTTTAAGGGATGCATCGATACATTGTAGAATGTACCGATACACTTCAAGAGAAAATAGAATTAGGTCTTTCTTTTGGTCTAAGAAATGACAGATTAGAATATATCAATTAGATACTTATATGTATCAACGTATAAATATGTAGAGATCGAGCACGAACAATTTCCGGGATGACCATCAAGTTAAGATTTGATCGGAAGAAAGGAAATCATAAAAGGGGATTGGAACTTAGTGAGGCCAAGGTGAGTGCATACAAGTTAGTTTATGATGTTTAATGGAAATAAGACTTGCGACGAGTCTATTTCCTATATTAGAATGCGTGAATTTATGATCATATGCATATGTTTGATTTGGGTATATGTGATATATATTATAGTATGTATTAAATGATTTGTGTGAATACATGTATTGTGAAAAGTTATAGGAATTAATATGGATTATCTATATGATTACATGGGAATGTGAAATAGGTTATATGATAAGCGACCATACATGTTACATAGTATATGTGATCAATTATAAGAATCAATATAATAGATTTATATGACTACATGAGAAGGGTGATGAGTTAAATAAGATTAGACTATAGAGTAATATGAAAATAATATATTAGTGAAGGGAATTGAGTATAAATGATGATACCAAACTATAAGATAAGTTTTATAGAGAAGAAGTATACTTAAAGAAAACTATGGTATAGGAGTTATGTAAAATTTAACTAAATAAATAGATTAACTTATTATACAAATAATATTAGATATGTGATATAAATTATATGTTATGGTATAAATAATTATGAGAAGAAATGGAAAAATGAGACAAGATAAGTATTTACTTATAGGATAATATGAGATTATATGAAAATATATAATATAACTTTATGAGGAAGAATTGGGTGTTATATGATTTAGGTATGGAAATGATCTATGTGTAAGTAAATTACGTGATTACGTGACTATGTGTGAAATGGAGTAAACTAGGCAATTATAAGGTATGTGAATATAGGTATATAAGATAAGCCACATGACTATGAATTAGGTGAAATTAAGTTGTGAGAATGATATGACAGAAAGATATAAGAGAATATGTTATGAGAAGATATAAGAACAAGTATAAGCTATGTGATATGTGAGTTTTATGAAGATGTTCTACGTGTAAGTGATTTACGTGTATGTGTGAATTATATGGAAATGAACTACTTGACTACGTGTGATCTTATAAAAATGTAATAATGAGACTATGTGTATATGTGAATGTGTGATAACATAAATATTAATGCCCATGTTATGTGTCATGAGAGCTAGAGGTATAGTTGGCATGCCAAGAGTCGAGGGTCTACGCGGTCCTTCAGGACATATATGTATTCTTTGGAACATGTGTGAGGTCTTTTGAGACACATATTTGATCCTTGGCATATGTATATGATTCTTAAGGAATTTTCTACATGGTCCTTAGGGAAAACCTTATATAGCACTTCGGTGCATTTCTACGCGGCACTTCGGTGTAATTCTACGTGGCACTTCGGTGCATTTATACGAGCTGTGGTAACAACATTAGTGCACAACCTCTAGAGACTCACATATCAATAGTTCTCACATATGTATATGGGCTAATCAAGAGATAATAACAAATATATGTTGTGATATGATAAATTTTATAGCAAGGACATGATGAGGTATAGGTATAGTATATGATTAAGAAGGTTAAGTATATGTCCTATGTGATTAAATGATGTGTGACTAACGATGATTTATATGTAGGCATGTATTTCTTATTAGATAATCTGATAGGATTTATATGACGATGTATGTATTTATTGGTTAATTAAATAATATGTTGAGTAAAAGAATAGATATAAGAGGATATAGCTATAAGATATAAATGATAAGAATATTGATAATGGAATAAGGTTAGAGATTTAAAATAATGTGTGATATATATATGTGTATAGTATGTTATATATAATGTTATTTTGTTTTGATGTGGCATTATAAGATGATATGTTCATGCATGTGTAAATAGTTAGAGTTCTTTTATAATTTAATGCCTACTAAGTCATAGACTTATCGTGTGGTTGTTTCACACGTAGGTTATAGAAACGAGAAGAATAATAAAGAGCAATGTGGAGCAAGACAAGCCAGTTCTCCTTACTGAAGGTCAGATCAGAAGAGAGGTGAATAATATGTATTATAATATATAAAGTTCTAGTTGGCATGTACTCAAAAGAATATAGTGTATAAGCTCTGAATAGTTCTGTAAAAGTTTTTAAATTACTCACTATTTTCTATAAGTAAATGTTTTAAAAAGTCAATGTGACACCTCAGACCCGGATCCGGGTCGGATACGGGTTAAGGGTGTTATATTTAATGGTATCAGAGCTAAGGTTTAGCCGATTCTAGGCTTAAACCAAAGTTAAATGAGTTGTAAAATGTGTACATGCCAACACCAAGTCAATAATTTCTGATCTGATAAGTGTAAGGAGTGTACTGTCTGGCTAATATAATAAGATTAGTGTGATATAGTAGAAGTTTGATTATAATAGTTTTGAATTGAAGTGAGAGGAGATATTCTTGATTGTGATGGCAATTCACTTGCCCTGGCCAGGTAGGAGGAAGAGCGGACACCTCAGGAAGTGTCTCATAAGATCAAAGACTGATTTCAGAAAGTTGAAATCATATTAAAATAGTGATAGAAGGTTTTCACAGGTTTGAGTCAGAAAAATGATATGAAGTATTCTTATTATTTCATGGATAAGATAGAATATGGTGAACAAATGTCACCATAAGGAAGTTAAAAGACTAATGGTGTGGGTAGAATTTGTAGAGAGTTCGAGAATAAATGCATCAGTGACAATCGTATAATATATATATAAAGCTAGAGTTTATGAGTTTGAAATAAAGGAATAGTACCGTGTATAAGCAAGAATGTGGATAGAATAAGGGTTTGCATTTTAGATAGAAAGAGTTAGTGTTGGCTAACCATATTATGTGATGGAAAATGTATAAAAATTTAATATTTTGAGATGTTGTCAGGATAAGACAACCAAAGATGAGGTGGATCGGGATACAGTTGTATATTTTGATCATAATAATGTGACATAGTGAAGAAGGTGAGGATTTGTATGTTTGAGTAAAGCTAAGGATTGATAAGAAGAGTTTAAGAATAGGTACATCAGTGATCAGTTTATAAGATAAAGGAAGTTAGAATGTTGAGTTGGAATAACGGAAATTACATGGTGTATGAGAGTAAATGTGGATTTGATAAGTTAAGTAAACTATTGCTGAGATAATTCTGACTGAAAATAATGTATATGAATGGTTTAATGAAGGTTTATGCTTTAGATTGGAATAATTGGTGTTGACTATAATTATGTGATGATAAGTGTATTAAAATTAAAGGATTAGAAGATGATGTCAGGGTAAATTAACTAAGTATGGTGTGAATTGAGACATAATTATGTATTTTGATCACAAAAATGTAAGGTAATGGAAAAGACAAGAGAATAGTAATGTATATGAATAAGAGTATGGGTTGGATAAGTGAGTAAATTGCACTGGGTGGATTTCAACTGAGAAGATGAATATGATTAGTCTGATTAGGGCTTATGCTCTAAATTGAAAAAAAAACTGTTACTGATTAATTGTGATAGTATGGATAATAAAGTTATAAGATTTGAAGAAAAAATAAAGTTAAGTTAATCAAGTATGATGTGGATTTGGATATGGTTTTGATCATATAGATATGATGTAGGCATGAAAATAAGTATTTGAATGTTTAAAAAGGGGGCTTTGAGGAAGGAAATACAAGTACAAGAGATAGTAAAAAAATGAGGTTTTGTATAAGTAAAGTGGATTATCAAAGTTATGAAGATGCGATGAAGATTGGTAATCAGAGATGAGTATAAATGATAAGAAAAGAATATGTGAACATTAAAGAAAAGATATGATATGTGCATAAGAATATTTTGATTTTGAAGGAATGAAAGAATAAAAAGGATAGGAAAAGTCAAAGATAGAGTTTAAAAGATCAAGTATGACAAGAGGTATATTGAGGTATAAGTTATAAGTTTGATATTGAAATGATGCAATTTTCAATTATTAGAAGAACGAGAATGAATGATGATTCTTTGAACAAATACCTGAAGGTTATATGAAAAGATTGTGTGTATAGTAATACAGACAAGGATTAAGAAATGAGCAAAAGCTTGATTTATGTGCAAAACACGTAAAGAATGATGAAAAAGATCAATTGATCCATAATATTGAGGAATAAGGATTGAGGTTACTGTCTATATAATGAATGATATTATATGGACTTATAAAGATATGAAGTATATGAAGAATTAAGTATGAGGAAATGGTAAGTTTGCTAGCTGTAACAGGAACGATTAAGAAAGGGAAGCAACATGAAAATATTAGAAGGCATGATATTATAAAGGTATGTAGTGAAAATATGAGGACGAATTTTCTTTAAAGGAGAGGAGATTTGTAACATCTCGAAATCAGGGTAAGTGACTAAATTGTAAATTTTGAAAACTATGTGCTCGATTTCAAAACAAGTTAAAAGTTCAATGACTTAAATAGGAATAATTCCTTATTGGATTAAATGATAATTATGGAAATATTGAAGGGTATAATAGTAATTCCACAAGAAAGAATTTTTTTCCTCCTTTACATAGGATATAACACGTGGAAATGGAGAGAGACAAGGTTCTAGTTTCCAGAGTTCTCTTCTTCTCCTTTCTTCTTCACGTGTGAAAGCCAAGAGCAAAGGTAAGATTTCTTTTTGGTAGATATTTAACTGAATTTAAGATTGAGTTATGATCATTTGATGATAGCTAAGCTTAAGGAAAGCTTAGATTATCTTAAAACCATAAAATGATGAGTATATGAAGAATTTAACAAAGGAAGTAGAAAAATGAAATCTTGGAATAGAGTTAATAATAAGCATTGGAAGTGAGATTTGACTTGTCCTCAACTTAATTAAGAGATATGAGGTGTTAGAAATAGACTTAGAATATGTTGAAAAATTGAGTTTAATTTTAGAATCTCAAAGGTGGATAGGATTTTGAGGTTTAAGATATGATAAATGGGTATTAAGTGGTTTAAGTAAGAGTATGTAAGTTAATGATATGAAATGGGTTGAATTATGGAACTATTGAGCTAAGTTGAGTGATTTTCGTGCATACATTGGAATTCTGGACCAGTGTGAATCGGTACACATTCAACATGTACCGATGCATAAAGGGTAAATTTCCATAAATTGTTCGGTGTGTATCGATGCACAGGAAGTGCATCGATGCACCCATTAAAATGGAAACATCGAATGCAATTAGTGCATCGATGCATAAGGAGTGCATTGATACACCCCCTTAAGATTGAAACATCGAAGGTGATTTGTGTACCGATGTATGGGTAGTGCATCGATGCACATGTTAAGGGATGTATCGATACACTGTAGAATGTACCGATGCACTTCAAGAGAAAATAGAATTAGGTCTTTCCTTTGGTTTAAGAAATGACAGATTAGAATACATCAATTAGATACTGATATGTATCAATGTATAAATATGTAGATATCGAGCACGAACAATTTCCAGGATGACCATCAAGTTAAGATTCGATTGGAAGAACGAAAATCATAAAAGGGGATTGGAACTTAGTGAGGCCAAGGTGAGTGCATACAAGTTAATTTATGATGTTTAATGGAAATAAGACTTGCGACGAGTCTATTTCCTATATTAGAATGTATGAATTTATGATCATATGCATATGTTTGATTTGGGTATATGTGATATATATTATAGTATGTATTAAATGATTTGTGTGAATACATGTATTGTGAAAAGTTATAGGAATTAATATGAATTATCTGTATGATTACATGGGAATGTGAAATAGGTTATATGATAGGTGACCATACATGTTACATAGTATATGTGATCAATTATAAGAATCAATATAATAGATTTATATGACTACATGAGAAGGGTGATGAGTTAAATAAGATTAGACTATAAAGTAATATGAGAATAATTTATTAGTTAAGGGAATTAAGTATGAATGATGATACCAAACTATAAGATAAGTGTTATAGAGAAGAAGTATACTTAAAGAAAACTATGGTATAGGAGTTATGTAAAATTTAACTAAATAAATAGATTAACTTATTATACAAATAATATTAGATATGTGATATAAATTATATGTTATGGTATAAATAATTATGAGAATAAATGGAAAAATGAGACAAGATAAGTATTTACTTATAGAATAATACGAGATTATATGAATATATATATAGTATAACTTTATGAGGAAGAATTGGGTGTTATATGATTTAGGTATGGAAATGATCTATGTGTAAGTAAATTACGTGATTATGTGACTATGTGTGAAATGGAGTAAACTAGGCAATTATAAGGTATGTGAGTATAGGTATATAAGATAAGCCACGTGACTATGAATTAGGTGAAATTAAGTGGTGAGAATGATATGCCAGAAAGATGTAAGAGAATATGTAATGAGAATATATAAGAACAGATATAAGTTATGTGATATGTGAGTTTTATGAAGATGTTCTATGTGTAAGTGATCTACGTGTATGTGTGAATTATATTGAAATGAACTAGTGATCTTATAAAAATGTAATAATGAGACTATGTGTATATGTGAATGTGTGATAACATAAATATTAATGCCCATGTTATGTGTCATGAGAGCTAGAGGTATAGTTGGCATGCCAAGAGTCGAGGGTCTACGCGGTCCTTCGGGACATATATGTATTCTTTGGAACAGATGTGAGGTCTCTTGAGACACATACTTGATCCTTGGCATATGTATATGATTCTTAAGGAATTTTCTACGTGGTCCTTAGGGACAACCTTATATAGCACTTTGGTGCATTTCTACGCGGCACTTCGGTGCAATTCTACGTGGCACTTCGGTGCATTTATACGAG